TCCATTGTCCTCTTCCAATTTAAGCACTTTTTCTTCATACTACTTTTGCATGTCTTCAGTTATCTCTAACCTGCTAAAAACACCTCCTTTCCTTATATCTTGTGGTGAGAATCCTTTAAAACGATCATCTGTTGGCGTGTTTACATTCCCCGTGGTGGTGATGGCGGCCATCTTTGTTATTAACAATAGTTTGATCTAGAAAACAAACTTTTCCAACTCAGCTATTTTCACTCACTTTTACTTGTTTATTGTATTTTATTTGCTTTTACACTTCCCTGAACCTTTATGTAACCTGGGACACCACTGTAGCCCCACAACATGTTCCCAATACTTAGGTAACTCGAATATTCCAGGAGCTTGCTGCGGTGTGACTCCTGCTTCCTCCAGCTCGCTCACTCACCACAACTCCCGTGTGTGGGAGTGTTGTTGCTTAAGACGGTCTCCCATTGAATGTTTGCAAGGCCTATATTTATTTTTTCCCAGTCAATCCTCTTATTGTTGAAATTGAATTGATTGAATACCCCTTCTCGCTGGTTGGGTCTCTTGGACCTACTATTGTTATTAATGTTAGTTTGCACTTCAATGAGCATGTGGTCTGAGTATGTAGTATTTGAGTTTGTAATGTCAATTATTAACTCATCATTGTTTGTGAATATCAGGTCCAGCATGTTTTCGTTCTTAGCTGGTTCTGTAATCTGCTGAGTGAGCGAGAATTTGTCGTAGAATCTCAGTAGTTCTCTGACCTGTGGTTGGTTATTTCCAGGTTGATTTACTATTATAATGTTATTGTTTACTCTTCTCCATTTTAAACTGTGTAGATTGACTCTTTGGACTCGTCAGATGATGAAATATCAGTAGGAGCAGCGTCTCCAACCTGACAAATTCACCACCTTCACATGCAACACATGGCCAAAGGAGGAGCTGGATAATAAACGTGAGGGTCTTACAACAATAATGAGAGAGATTATAGCAAGAGCTGATAAAGATATATCACGATTGTTGGCAGTCGGCAACTTCAACTTGAAAACCATAGACTGGGATTCTGTGAATCCCAATCACAGTCATATGAAGCTAGAACAGAGGATTTTTGGACTTGTAGATTTGTAAACCTCATCCTGGAAACATTCATGTTTCAACATGTTAAACAAGCTACGAGGATGAGGGAAAGAGATGTTCCCTCCATGCTGGATTTGATATTTAACATGAAAAAGGAAGAGATATTTGACATTCAGTACCTTCCTCCCTTGGGTAAAAGTAACCATGTCTTTTTGGGAATACAGTATGCAATGCGTTATTATCTGGAAGAAAAGGAGGTTGAAGCAGTTGAAAAACCTGATTTCAGGAGAGGTCATTATGGGGAACTCAGACATTTCTTTAAGGAATTTGACTGGAAAGACTTGCTGTTAAGACATGAAGTAAATGATATGTATGTTAAGTTTGGTGAAATATATGATAAAGGCACAACAAAATTTATACCAAAGTAGAGATGCAGAGCTAGGCAATAGGATTGGTTCAATAGAAATTGCGAGAGGGCCAGGGACCAAAAGACACAAAAATGGAATCAATACAGGAAGAGGCCGAACCCCCAAACATACCAGCGATACAAAGATGCGAGAAACAACTACACGGTAGTGAGGAGAGAGGCAGAAAGAAATTATGAAAAAAGGATTGCAGACAAATGTAAAACAGAACCAGGCCTATTCTATAAATTCATAAACAACAAATTGCTGGTAAAGGATAATATTCAGAGCTTGAAAATGGGAAAATGAAAAGGAAATGTGTGAAACATTAAACGAAAAGTTCCAAAGTAGGTTTGTACAAAATGAAATCTTCAGGGAACCAGACACAATAAGCTCTCAAAGCTCTCCAAATGTACTCACTAGAAAGGAGACAAGAGAGATACCAAATAATATACACATGGAAAATACTGGAGGGGACAGGTCCCAAATCTGCACAGTAAAATAACAACGTACTGGAGTGAACGACATGGAAGAAAATGCAGAATAGAACCAGTGAAGAGCAGAGGTGCCATGGGCACAATCAGAGAACACTGTATGAACATCAGAGGTCCACGGTTGTTTAATGTCCTACCAGCGAGCATCAGAAATATTACAGGAACAACCGTGGACATCTTCAAGAGGAAACTAGATTGTTTCCTCCAAGGAGTGCGGGACCAACCGGGCTGTGGTGGGTATGTGGGCCTGCGGGCTGCTCCAAGCAACAGCCTGGTGGACCAAACTCTCACAAGTCAAGTCTGGCCCTGGGCCGGGCTTGGGGAGTAGAAGAACTCCCAGAACCCCATCAACCAGGTATCAACCAGATACAATAAGAATTCCAGAGAACAATATAGAGCACATAGAGGTGTCTAGAGACGAAGTGGAAAAAATGCTCAAGGAGCTAAGTAAGAACAAAGCAGTTGGTCCAGATGGAGTTTCACCATGGGTTCTGAGAGAATGTGCATCTGAGCTCAGCATTCCACTTCACCTGATTTTTCAGGCATCCCTGTGTACAGGAGTTGTTGCAGATGTGTGGAAAAATGCTAACATAGTTCCAATCTACAAAAGTGGCCGCAGGGAAGACCCCCTCCATTATAGACCTGTATCATTGATAAGTGTAATAGTCAAAATATTGGAAAAAGTAATTAAAACTAAATAGGTAGAACAGCTGGAGAAAAACGATATAATATCAGTATGGTTTTCGATCTGGAAGATCCTGTGTTACGAATATGCTCAGTTTCTATGATCGAGCCACAGAGATTTTACAGGAAAGAGATGGTTGGGTTGACTGCATCTATTTGGATCTAAAAAAAAAAGGCTTTTGACAGAGTTCCGCATATGAGGTTGTTCTAGAAATTGGAACATATTGGAGGAGTGACAGGTAAGCTTCTAACATGGATGAAAAATTTCCTAACTGATAGAAAAATGAGGGCGGTTCATTGTCTACATAAATGATCTACCAGTTGGAATACAGAATTACATGAACATGTTTGCTGATGATGCTAAGATAATAGGGAAGATAAGAAACTTTGATGATTGTCATGCCCTTCAAGAAGACCTGGACAAAATAAGTATATAGAACACCACTTGGGAAATGGAATTTAATGTGAATAAATGCCATGTTATGGAATGTGGAATTGGAGAACATAGACCCCACACAACTAATAAATTATGTGAGAAATCTTTTAAAGAATTCTGAAAAAGAAAAAGGTCAAGGGATGGTTCTAGATAATAAACTGTCACCTGAGGACCACATTAAGAACATTGTGCGAGGAGCCTATGCTACACTTTCTAACTTCAGAATTGCTTTTACTATGTGGCTCCTTGAACTGAAGGGCAAGAGCTATGAGGAGAGGTTAGAGGTGTTAAATATGCAAAACTAGAAGATAGAAGAAAAAGGAGATATGATCACTACGTACAAAATAGTAACAGGAATCGATAAAATTGATAGGGAAGATTTCCTGAGACCTGGAACTTCAAGAACAAGAGGTCATAGATTTTAACTAACGAAACAAAGCTGCCGGAGAAATATAAGAAAAGTCACTTTTGTAAACATAGTGGTAGACGGTTGGAACAAGTTAGGTGAGTTGGTGGTGGTCAAAACCATCAGTAGTTTCAAAGCGTTATATGACAGAGTGCTGGGAAGACAGGACACCACGAGCGTAGCTTTCATCCTGTAACTACACTTAGGTAATTACCTACAATGTTCAAGACTTTCTCCTGGGGGCCACATCACCAAGCCCAAATGACAGCACAGCCATGTCAACATGAAGCGAGACTTGGACAAAGAAGAAGAAGAAGAAGAAGCAGAAGCAAAAGACCAAGAACACCGAGAACACATGAACAACACCTGCACCTGAAGAAAGCAGTCAGCTGAAGACCCAAGATTGAGGGGTCACCACCACCAAGCACCTACACACACCATGCTACTCTCCAGCTCACTCACAGCCCATGTGCAGACCGACCAAGCCCACGAAGCCTACCACGCACCTTTCTGCCACCCAAGAACTAGAAACAAGACCATGAGCCAAGATTAACACTGGACACCAACCCACAGTGGATCAGCCACCGAACTTTTTAGCCTCCTCCTTTCCCATCCACATCCTCTTCAAGAATTTCAACTCTTCATCCTTCTTCCTTCTCCCCCACCTTCTGAAAGCCCTTTGGACATCGAAGAAGAAGAAGCAGCAGCAGCAGCGGGAGCCCTGCATGGCTTGCCAGCGAGCCGGAAGCCTACAATGGACAACCAGAGGGGTTCCTATCAGCAGTAAAACTGGCTTGGAGGACTGGGGGAAACCTAGAGCTCTGCTTCCCAGCCCTCCCCCACTGTGGGGGTGTCTGTATTGGTTTGCTGATTACCTGGATGTATCTGGATGCATCTGGATGTATCTGGATGTATCTGGATGTATCTGGATGCATCTGGATGCATCTGGATGCATCTGGATGCTTTGATGGTGGGATGGCGGAGTGTCAGCTGCTCTCTACACCTCTGTGAAGAGGCTAGATTCTGGTCCCTTGAAAGGCAAACAGAACTCCATGGCTGATGTGACCTAGTAGTTGGGAGCCATGTCAGCAAGATAACTTCAGAGAGCCACAAGCTGCTCCCCTACAAAATTTAAATTGATAAATACATGAAAGTGGTATCCAGAGGTCATAAATTCCAGAAAAGTCAAGCCAAAGGCTGGGGTGACCATCCACCAGGTGACGTTGTCAAACAACCAAAGTAATTTGTTGTCTGGTATTGGAAATTGCCTGGCGAGTGTGTTGAGATAGACTAGGCAAATTTATATGTTGGGCTGTGGGTTGGTGATTCTATATCAGTAGATGATTTTCCTTTATATCAAACATTTGCATATACCAGTAATGTCAAAAGTTGAATTATAAGATGGCTAATTGCATTTTACACATTCAGTTCTTGAAGAATATTAGTTGATGTGTGTAAACTTTTAGAGAGAGATTGATTGATTATTTGAAATAACCACTTTCCTCACTCCTTTTCTTAAGATACGTCTATAAGAGATTGCGGTTCCTAAATAATCGCTACGTCTCTCAAGTTATGGCACTGGTATTCCTCGCAGTGTGGCACGGTCTCCATTCTGGATATTATGCCTGCTTCTTCATGGAGTTTGCAGTCATGAACTTTGAACGGGATGTAAGTATTTCTAGTTGTTGTTTAGATTTTCTTTCCAATTATTATTTTTGTTAATGCTTGTGTGGCATTTTGATGCCATATTTTAAGACTGAACCTTGTTTTGGTATGTAACTTTAAAGATTTAGTGCTTGGTTGTACGTATTATTGCTCGGGTAATTGTGCGGTTGAACCCAGAAATCATCTTGAACAGTACACTACTGCTTCACAGAACGAAGTGTAAAGTGCTCCTCATGAGTTATTGTGTACAGACACGATAACTCACAAGTAGTTTAATAACTTGAATACCTTTAAAAATGGTATTACCCTTGCGATTGTGGATTGTATCTTATATGACAAGGGTGAAGGGGTGAAATACTTCCAGATATATTAATGGTACCCCCATATATTATGGGAGCTGGTCGGCCGAGCGGACAGCACACTGGACTTGTGATCCTGTGATCCCGGGTTCGATCCCGGGCGCCGGCGAGAAGCAATGGACAGAGTTTCTTTCACCCTATGCCCCTGTCACCTAGCAGTAAAATAGGTACCTGGGTGTTAGTCAGCTGTCACGGGTTGCTTCCTGGGGGTGGAGGCCTGGTCGAGGACCGGGCCGCGGGGACACTAAGCCCCGAAATCATCTCAAGATAACCAAGATATACCCCAGAAAAGGTCTACCCAATAGTCTCACTTGGTTACCAGTGAGAGCTTCTGAGAGCCTTCCTCATTGTGAGCAGCCATGGCCTGGTTGATAGGACAACGGTCTCGTACTCTTGATGCCCGAGAGGTTCTTCCTTATAGTGAGCATCCATAATCTGGTTGATATACTAGTATTGTCACACTGAATTTCTAGAGGAAGTCTCCTGGTAGCTCCCTAAAACTATCTTCCTGAGATTGCTTCATATTGAAGTGTCACAACAGTCGCAGAAGTTGTGTTTGGACTTCCAGGGATCAATGCTGGAACCTGTCCCCCTCTCATAGGCCCAAGGAGCGGGTGACATTCTCCCACCCCACCAGAAAAGTGCAGCTTTAGAGACAACTGGAGGGTTTACAGTAAGTATCTTGAAACCACCAAACAACTCTGCAGATGATTCATACAGAAAAAAGAGATTCAGGAGCTCTAAACTCATGAATCAGACTCGCTTTATACTCATTAGAACCGATTGCCATCAGCAAGTGGTCCTGCCCAGGCTACCATCTGGCTCACCAGGTCAGTTTTGTTCATGATGCTACTGTCTTCACACCTGCTAGCAGTGCTACCTTACCTTGAGGTTACCTTACCTTGAGGTGCTTCCGGGGCTTAGTGTCCCCGCGGCCCAGTCGTCGACCAGGCCTCCTGGTTGCTGGACTGATCAACCAGGCTGTTAGACGCGGCTGCTCGCAGCCTGACGTATGAGTCACAGCCTGGTTGATCAGGTATCCTTTGGAGGTGCTTATCCAGTTCTCTCTTGAACACTGTGAAGGGTCGGCCAGTTATGCCCCTTATGTGTAGTGGAAGCGTGTTGAACAGTCTCGGGCCTCTGATGTTGATAGAGTTCTCTCTCAGAGTACCTGTTGCACCTCTGCTTTTCAACGGGGGTATTCTGCACATCCTGCCATGTCTTCTGGTCTCATGTGATGTTATTTCTGTGTGCAGGTTTGGGACCAGCCCCTCAATTATTTTCCACGTGTAAATTATTATGTATCTCTCCCGCCTGCGCTCAAGGGAGTACAGATTTAGGCTCTTTAGTCGGTCCCAGTAATTTAGATGTTTTACTGAGTGGATTCTAGCAGTAAAGGATCTCTGCACGCTCTCCAGGTCAGCAATTTCTCCAGCTTTGAAAGGGGCTGTCATTGTGCAGCAGTACTCCACTCTAGAGAGCACAAGCGTTTTGAAAAGTATCATCGGTATAGCATCTCTAGTGTGAAAAGTTCTTGTTATCCAACCTGTCATTTTTCTTGCAGTTGTGACGGCTACTTTATTGTGTTCTTTAAAGGTAAGGTCTTCCGACATGAGTACACCCAGATCCTTTACATTGCCTTTTCGTTCTATGTTATGATTTGCCTGAGTTTTGTACGTGGTTTCTGTTTTTATATTTTCAATTTTTCCGTAGCGCATGAGCTGGAACTTATCCTCGTTAAACACCATATTATTTTCTGTAGCCCATAGAAAGACCTGATCTACATCTGATTGGAGGTTTGCCGTGTCCTCTATGTTGCCAACTCTCATGAAAATCCTAGTGTCATCTGCAAAGGATGATACAGTGCTATAGGTTGTGTTCTGGTCTATGTCCGATATGAGGATGAGAAAAAGTACTGGAGCAAGCACAGTACCCTGGGGAACTGAGCTCTTCACGGTTGATGGGCTGGATTTTATTTTGTTGACTATTACACATTGGGTTCTGTTAGTCAGGAAATTGTAGATCCATCTGCCTATTTTCCCGGTAATTCCTTTTGAACGCATTTTATGTGCAATAACACCATGGTCACATTTATCAAAAGCTTTTGCGAAATCTGTGTAAATTACATCAGCGTTTTGTTTGTCTTCCATAGCATCTAATGCCATATCATAGTGGTCCAGCAACTGTGACAGGCAAGAGCGCCCTGTTCTGAAACCATGTTGTCCGGGGTTGTGGAGATGCTGTGATTCCATGTATTTTGTGATCGTACTTCTTAGCACTCTCTCAAAAATTTCTGGTAATGTCAGCTTGCAGGCAACCCTTGAAGCTTCAAGATAAGTCTCAGCCATCTTTAGACTTGGTTGTTTTGGGGGGCCATTTGCTCTGTGTATTGTTTCCTGCTTTAGTGTAAGCTTCATGTGTGTTTTGATTCCAGCTTGTTGAGTGAACTTGCCTCGTTTGGTGTGTCGGGCAGCATGTACTCGGGGTTCTTTTCCCTGTGTGTACTCGGGACTCTCTTTTCCCTGTGTGCTTGCTAACCCTGGCCTATGCACAGCCGGAGCTTCCATTCTCTAGTGTGTTTGGGAGTTCGTCCCTAAGAGGTTTGACCATTGGGGTGAGAGCTATGCCTTGGACTATAATTATTTAATCCTCGGTTTGGGCCCTTGGCTGGGGACACTCTTTGGTTGTGTTGGGATGCATTGAGGTTTGTGTGCTTGTTTCACTGCATGGTGCGGTTGTCTCCTGTAGCCTGGTGGTTTAGGCTGCAGTTGGTGTGTGTGTGCTTCTGGTGAGCAGCCTCGGTGCTTGGGGTATCTGTTTGGTTATAGTCCTTCAGGCCCTGGGAATCCCCTGTGGGTCTCTTTGTTCATTCATTCAGACCCTGTGGGTCTGAATGAATAGGGAGTCGGTTGGCCGAGCGGACAGCACGCTGGACTTGTGATCCTGTGGTCCTGGGTTCGATCCCAGGCACCGACGAGAAACAATGGGCAGAGTTTCTTTCACCCTATGCCCCTGTTACCTAGCAGTAAATAGGTACCTGGGTGTTAGTCAGCTGTCACGGGCTGCTTCATGGGGGTGGAGGCCTGGTCGAGGACCGGGCCGCGGGGATACTAAAGCCCCGAAATCATCTCAAGATAACCTCAAGATAACAGACACACACACACACATATGACCTCTTGCAGATGTGTGACAGATTTGCTTTAAACCAGCATAGCAGATCCGACTAAGAAAACACATTAGACCTTAATTTTACAAAAAACAAAAAGCTTATTAGGGATATAATAATTACAAATCCTTGTTACTCGGATCACAACCTAATTGAAGTTCAGATGAGCATGGGCAATAGACTTGTGCAGTTAATCTCAAATCCAAGAGGAGAATAATTCATCAAATTCAATTTTAATAACAAACTGATTAACTGGAAAAGAATAAACCAAGACCTCACAGAAATATGCCGGGAAGAACAATCTCTATAAATGATGCAAACCTAAACCACTGCTTCGAGAAAATAGGCTCAGTAGCACTAGAAATATGTAGATGGTACCTACTACTAAGAATAAAAAATGCAAACTGGAACAAGAACAGAGCTCCCTCTATAGGCCAAGAAAACAAATAGCAGAACATCACAAATGCTCCACTCTGTCCCAACAATGACGTGGAAGGCTATGTAGAGAAATAGAAATGATCGAGCTCAAGCTGTAAGAACTTGTATAAAATCCAAGAGAAGCAAAAAGCCTATGAAAGATAGGTTTACGCTTGTGCTGTGTTCAAATGCGAGTGGCGATTTGAAAATTAAACCATTGCTTGTGTATCATTCTGAAAATCCAAGGGTTTTCAAACAGTATAAAGTGCAGAAAAAACAAATGGTGTGTGATGTGGAGGGCTAATAATAAGGCATGGGTGACTTGGATTTTTTTTCAGAGTGGGTGAATGAAGTGGTGTGCCCTGCCATAGAAAAATATCTGCAGGAGAAATATTTGGCACTCAAGGCCGTGCTTCTCCTCGACAATGCTCCTGCTCATCCTCCAGGCTTGGAAGAGGAATTGTTGCACAGATACAGTAATTTTCTCACAGTAAAGTTCCTTCTTCCTAACACCACTCATCTAATTCAGCCTATGGACCAGAAAATCATAGCGAATTTTAAGAAACTTGATGAAAGGGCACTTTTCTGGAAATGTTTTGAAGTGACTGAAGCCACAAACCTCACTCTCAAAGAGTTCTGGAAACACCATTTTAACATTTGTTGTTCTTTAAAACTCGTTGACAAAGCCTGGCAAGAAGTGACTCAAAGAACCTTGATCTCTGGCTGGAGAAAATTGTGGCCTTAATGTGTGACAGAACTAGACTTTGAGGGGTTTGAGCCTGTAAATGATGCGCCTATTGTTGAGGAAATTGCTACTCGGCCAGCAAATGGGCTTGGAATTGGATGGTGATGATGTGGAGGAGTTGGTGGAAGAACACAACGAAAAACTGACCACTAAAGAACTCCAAGCCCTTCAAAAGGAACAGCAAGAAGACCCAGCTGAGGATGTTTCTTCAGTGGAGGAGGATGAGGCAGCAGCGGATGTCCCTTCCGCAACCATTAATTAGTGGTGTCAGATGTGGGAAGAGATGCAAACTTTTATTGAAAAGACTCACCCAGAGAAAGCTGTAGTAGGCCATTGTCTTAATCTTTTCAATGACAATGTGATGCCTCACTACAGACACATCTTGCGAAGAAGGGAAAAACAATCTTCCATGGACAGATTTGTTGTGAGAACATCGAGCAGTGAGCCACAACCAGGACCTAGTGGTATGCAGGCAAAACGTGCCAGAGAGGTCCTCACAGCCTGATGTTATAATGGAAGGGGACTCCCCTTCCAAACAGTAACACCTCTCCTCCTCCCCCTTCCTCACCATCTTCCATACGCCAACAGCAGTCATCAATAAGGGTAAGTAATAACTTGAACATAGTTTTGTAGTGCAGATTTTGATGAATTAGGTATAAAATTTAGTTTGAAGTGAGGTTTTTGGGTAGTCAAGAATGGATTTATTCATTTCTCATTATTTCTTATGGAGAAATTAGCTTCGGGTTACAAGTTTTCGGGTTATGAGCTGTCTCCAGGAACGGATTAAACTCTTAAACCGAGGTACAGTGGTACTTCGGAATACAAGTGTCCCTGTATGCGAGTTTTTCGGAATACGAGCTGGATTTCCTCGGAAAATGTGTCTCGGAAGGCGAGGGTTACCTCGGAACACGAGTTTGTTGATACATGTACAGGCCGACTAGCACATGGTGGCACGGCGATCGCGCCTCAGTTTACCAGTTTCTCGCACCCAGTGACTATCCCACCTGAATTCTTCTCTTGGATTTACAGTTTTTTGTCGGTTTTTTGGCCATTTGAGCATAAAAGTTGTCATTATATATCTCGCCATTGGTAAGGTTCAACCTAAGAAAATAGCTGTGAGTAGAGGCAGTAGAGGATGTCCCTTCTTGATTAAGAAAATGTGTGAAGTATGGGAAGAACTGCAAAGTTTTGTTGAAAAAACTCACCCAGATAAAGGTGTAGCAGGCCATTGCATTGACCTTTTAAATGATAATGTGATGTCTTACTACAGACAAGTGTTAAAATGTAGGGAAAAACAAGTGTCATTAGACAAATTCTTAGTAAAACAAGCAAGTCCTAGTGGTATGCAGGCAAAATGTGCCAGAGTGTGCATACCAGTGAAGTCCTCACTGCCTGATGTGATAATGGAAGGGGACTCCCCTTCCAAACAGTAACTCCTCTCTTCCTCCCACCTCCTCACCATCTTCCATACGCCTACAGCAGTCCTCAACAAGGGTAAGTAATAACTTGAACATAGTTTTGTAGGTTTATTTAGATAATTAGGTATAAAAATTTAGTTTGATGTGGGGTTTTTGGGGCAGTCAGGAACGGATTAATTCATTTCCCATTATTTCTTATGGGGAAATTAGCTTCGGAATACAAGTTTTCGGAATACGAGCCGTCTCCAGGAACGAATTAAACTCTTAAACTGAGGTACCCCTGTACCAATGTACTTTAAATGTAAAGTGTTCATAGGCCATTGCTCCCTGTGCCTCTCTGAGGGGGCCAGGTTCTGGGTCATGGTCCCCGGTAGGCATAAGGACTCCTGTGACTGACGACCCCAAACTAATATAACACACATCAGTTCGGATAGCTTCAGGGAGCCTCCGAGGCTCACCCAGAAAATGGCATTTCATTACATTCAACACTTTTTTTTTTTGTAGAATTAGTGGGGGTCACAAGCCCCTGTACATGTGACCCCCTCATGGAGTGTTGGATATTAGTGGGGGTCACAAGCCCCGTACATGTGACCCCCTTGTGGAGTGTTGGATATTAGTGGGGGTCACAAGACCCCGTACATGTGACCCCCTCGTGGAGTGTTGGATATTAGTGGGGGTCACAAGACCCCCGTACATGTGACCCCCTCGTGGAGTGTTGGATATTAGTGGGGGTCACAAGACCCCCGTACATGTGACCCCCTCGTGGAGTGTTGGATATTAGTGGGGGTCACAAGACCCCCGTACATGTGACCCCCTCGTGGAGTGTTGGATATTAGTGGGGGTCACAAGACCCCCGTACATGTGACCCCCTCGTGGAGTGTTGGATATTAGTGGGGGTCACAAGCCCCCCGTACATGTGACCCCCTCGTGGAGTGTTGGATATTAGTGGGGGTCACAAGACCCCCGTACATGTGACCCCCTCGTGGAGTGTTGGATATTAGTGGGGGTCACAAGCCCCCCGTACATGTGACCCCCTCGTGGAGTGTTGGATATTAGTGGGGGTCACAAGCCCCGTACGTGTAACCCCCTCGTGGAGTGTTGGATATTAGTGGGGGTCACAAGCCCCGTACATGTGACCCCCTCGTGGAGTGTTGGATAGCATGTACCTTCATACACTAGTATATTGACTGTAATTTAGCAAGAATATTGTTTACATCTGTGTGTATGATAATACAGTATATGAATTACTCAAGTGCATATAGCATTTGGTGTGTTTTAACTTTATGTTTACATTGAACAAAAGAACTATAGAAGATTGAATTGCTGTGGCAGTGTGTATAGAAATACTATTAGCCAACAAATTGCTTTGTTTAATTTGATTAAACATGACTGCTTGAATTTTCTATCTCTAGGAAAAGATATTGGGATATTTGTATTTATTTTAATGGTAAGATAGAATTCAGTACATTCACTTTTGTCTCAAAATATTGTATATTTTTCAGCTTGGCAATTACGTGCATCAGTATCCACGACTTCTTGCCATACTCAACGCCGGTCCCCTCAAGTACATCAAGTTCGTTGTGTTAAAGTTGTACGTGGTCATTTTCATGGGCTATTGTTTAGGACCATTTGCTCTGCTCAAGCTCCACAGGTAAGGAGGTCGTCACGAGTGCACGCGTGGCTGCTTAAACTTTTGTGTCTGATTCAGCTTGTAGTTAATTTTTACATAGTTTAAGGTATGTTCTTGGGGGGGGGGGGGGGAAGGCCCTTGTGGCTTTGTTAAGGTACTATATGTTGAGGTGGTACATCTATTGGGTCATGTCAGCCTTGGAGATCTATAGGCCTACCGGGGACCAGCACAAATAACCAGAAGCTGGCCCACTCACAGAGGCCCAGTAACTGGCCCACTCACAGAGGCACAGTGACTGGCCCACTCACAGAGGCCCAGTGACCGGCCCACTCACAAGAGGCCCAGTGACCAGCCCACTCACAGAGGCCCAGTGACTGGCCCACTCACAGAGGCAAAGTGACCGGCCCATTCACAGAGGCCCAGTGACCGGCCCACTCACAGAGGCCCAGTGACCGGCCCACTCACAGAGGCCCAGTGACCGGCCCACTCACAGAGGCCCAGTGACCGGCCCACTCACAGAGGCCCAGTGACCGGCCCACTCACAGAGGCCCAGTGACCGGCCCACTCACAGAGGCCCAGTGACCGGTCCACTCACAGAGGTCCAGTGACCGGCCCACTCACAGAGGCCCAGTGACCGGCCCACTCACAGAGGCCCAGTGACCGGCCCACTCACAGAGGCCCAGTGACCGGCCCACTCACAGAGGCCCAGTGACTGGCCCACTCACAGAGGCCCAGTGACCGGCCCACTCACAGAGGCCCAGTGACCGGCCCACTCACAGAGGCCCAGTGACCGGCCCACTCACAGAGGCCCAGTGACCGGCCCACTCACAGAGGCCCAGTGACCGGCCCACTCACAGAGGCCCAGTGACCGGCCCACTCACAGAGGCCCAGTGACCGGCCCACTCACAGAGGCCCAGTGACCGGCCCACTCACAGAGGCCCAGTGACCGGCCCACTCACAGAGGCCCAGTGACTGGCCCACTTACAGAGGCCCAGTGACCAGCCCACTTACAGAGGCCCAGTGACCAGCCCACTCACAGAGGCCCAGTGACCGGCCCACTCACAGAGGCCCAGTGACCGGCCCACTCACAGAGGCCCAGTGACTGGCCCACTCACAGAGGCCCAGTGACTGGCCCACTCACAGAGGCCCAGTGACCGGCCCACTCACAGAGGCCCAGTCACAGACAGTGACCGGCCCACTCACAGAGGCCCAGTGACAGTGGCCCACTCACAGAGGCCCAGTGACTAACCGGCCCACTCACAGAGGCCCAGTAACCGGCCCACTCACAGAGGCCCAGTAACCGGCCCACTCACAGAGGCCCAGTGACCGGCCCACTCACAGAGGCCCAGTAACCGGCCCACTCACAGAGGCCCAGTCACAGAGGACCGGCCCACTCACAGAGGCCCAGTAACCGGCCCACTCACAGAGGCACAGTGACCGGCCCACTCACAGAGGCCCAGTAACCGGCCCACTCACAGAGGCCCAGTGACCAGCCCACTCACAGAGGCCCAGTCACAGACCGGCCCACTCACAGAGGCACAGTGACTGGCCCACAGGCCCACTCACAGAGGCACAGCCCACTGGCCCACTGGCCCACTCACAGAGGCACAGTGACTGGCCCACTCACAGTCACAGAGGCACAGTGACTGGTGATATATATTTTCAGCCCACTTACAGAGGCCCAGTGACCAGCCCACTCACAGAGGCACAGTGACTGGCCCACTCACAGAGGCCCAGTGACTGGCCCACTTACAGAGGCCCAGTGACCAGCCCACTTACAGAGGCCCAGTGACCAGCCCACTCACAGAGGCCCAGTGACCGGCCCACTCACAGAGGCCCAGTAACCGGCCCACTCACAGAGGCACAGTGACTGGTGATATATATTTTCACCAGCTCAGTGGGAAAGGCAGCTGTTATGACCCCCAATGTATACCCATTCCAGTGTATATTGCAATATATATACCCAGTGTTATGTTCTATAAGTATACTCATGGCCCTAATTTTGAGTGCCAAACATTGTGCTCATTGGAGATATATACAAGAGTTGTTACATTCTTGTACAGCCACTAGTACACATAGCGTTTCGGGCAGGTCTCTGGAATACGATCCCCTGCCCTTTAAGTTGTGATTGCATATTTAATCCCAATATATTATGGATCCAAATAATTCTCAAGTAATTTTATTGCATGTTCATGCATTATAAATACTTGTAACTAGTGTACCTGTGATTGTATGTATGTAAGCAGCCGGCCGGCAAGAGCGTGCATGTGTGGGTGGGTGTAGTTACCTAAGTTATAGTTACAGGATGAGAGCTATGCGCGTGGTGTCCCATCTTTCCAGCACTCTTTGTCGCGTAATCCTTTGAAACTACTGATGATTTGGCCTCCACAACTTTCTCACTTAACATAAAGATAAAATCCAGAGATTGAGAATGGGGAACAAGTCTACTGAGAATGAGAAAGAAATATGTGAAATGCTAAATAGACAGTTCCAAAGCGTGTTTGTACTAAATGAGGATTTCAGAGAGCCGGACCAAATACCAATTATAGAACACTCCATGTAATACATATCTTGAGATGATTTTGGGGCTTTTTAGTGTCCCCGCGGCCCGGTCCTTGACCAGGCCTCCACCCCCAGGAAGCAGCCCGTGACAGCTGACTAGCACCCAGGTACCTATTTTACTGCTAGGTAACAGGGGCATAGGGTGAAAGAAACTCTGCCCATTGTTTCTCGCCGGCGCCTGAGATCAAACCCAGGACCACAGGATCACACGTCCAGCATGCTGTCCGCTCGGCCGACCAGCTCCCCGAGGTATACATAGAGGTATCTCAAGACGAAGTGGAAAAATTGCTTGTGTGGCTAGGAAGAAACAAAGTGGTTGTTTATACAACCACTTTATTTCTTCTCCAAGTAATATGGACCCCTTGCTCCAATTAATATTCCAGACATCCTTATGCACAGGAATCTTAGCAGATAAATGGAAAATGGCAAACATAGAGCCAGTTTATAATAATGGTAGTCGAGAGGAAGCTCTAAATTATAGACCCGTGTCATTAACAAGCGTGGTAGTCAAAACACTAGAAAAAACAGTTAAAGCCAAATGGGTTGAACACCTTGAGAGTAATGACATAATAACGGACAGACTTTATGGTTTTCGAACAGGAAGATTCTGTGTAACAAATCTACTTAGCTTTTGTGAGAGCCACAGAGATGCTACATGAAAGAGATGGTTTGGTTGACTGTGTCTATCTGGGCCTAAAAAAGGCTTTTGATAATGGTCCCACACAAGAGGCCATTCTGGAAACTAGAACATGCTGAAGAGGTGACTGGGAGACCTTTGATATGGATGAGAAGTTTTCTAACTGACAGATGAGGGCAGTAATCAGACACAATGTATCTGAATGAAGGAGTGTTACTAGTAAAGTACCACAGGGTTAGGTTCTTGCGCCAGTAATGTTTATCATCTACATAAACCATCTATCAGAAGGAATACAGAATTATATGAACATGTTTGCAGATGATGGTAAGATACTGGGGGAAGATAAGAGATGCAGACGATTGTAATGCCGTTCAAATTGATTTAGATAAAATAAGTGCTTGGAGCATCAGGTGACAAATGGAATTCAGTGTGAAAAAATGTCATGTTATTGAATGTAGAATCAGAGAAAATAGACCACACACAACTTACAAATTATGTGGAATGGAATTACAGAACAACAAGTAAAGAACAAGACCTGGGGGTGGTTTTGGGCAGTAAGCTGTCACCAGAGGAACACACACACAACTTTGTGAGAGGAACGTATGCATCACTTTCCAACTTCTGACTTGCTTTTAATTATATTGAGTATTTCACAGGTAAAATCCTAAAGAAACTGTTAATGACTTTTGTGAGACCAAAATTGGAATATGCAGCACTTGTATGATGCCCAAATGTCAAGAAGCAAATAAATAAACTGGAAAAGGTGCAACGACACACTACAACAGGGCCTCTTGAACTGAAAAACATAATTACGAGTAGAGGCTAGAGGCGTTAAACATGCCAAAACTAGAAGAGAGAAGAAAAAGAGGTGATATAAATTCTCATCCACACTTCCATGGAAATAAACAATCCATTCACTTGAGCTCTAGGAGACTGTCACTGCGGGCCTCACGTGTGAGGCCGTAGCCCTATCAACCCAGCTATTGAGTAGTGTTAACAAGGACAACTTATACATGACGTGGGTGTGGATAAGTAATTCCTCTGAGCTTCAGTAGTAGTCCAGGAAAGTCAAAATATTCACTTTGGCAGCAGGATGCTGCTTCTGGAGACTTTTCTTATTAAAACTACTCAATAGCTCAAATGATACAGCTTCGGCCTCACACAGATGGGGTCCATGATTCAAGCCTTCTAGAGCCCAGGTGAATGGAAAAGATGATATGATCATCACTTAAAAAATACTAACAGGAATCAACCAAATTGAAAAAAAGAGGAATTCCTGAAACTGGTAACTGCACGAACAAGAGGACACAGATTCAAGGTAAGGAAATAAAGGTGCTGATAAAATATTAAAAAGTTTTCTTTTGCAAATAGAGTGGTACAGGTAGATGGTTGGAACAAGCTAAGTGAGGTGGTGGTGGAGGCCAAAACCGTCAATAGTTTCAAAGCATTATACAACAAAGAGTGCTGGGAAGACGGGACACCACGAGCATAGCTCAACTCCTGTAACTACACTTAGCTAATTACAATCAGCTGTGGGTAGCACCCACAGCTACAGCTACCATGGATGAAAAATGTTTTAATTGACAGAAAAATGAGGGCCGTAATCAGAGGCAATGTATCGGACTGGAGAAATGTCACAAGTGGAGTACCACAGGGCTCAGTTCTTGCACCGGTAATGTTCATTGTCTACATTAACGATCTACCAGATGGAATACAGAATTATATGAACATGTTTGCTGATGCTAAGATACTGGGGAAGATAGAAAATGTAGATGATTGTTATGCTCTTCAAGAAGACCTGGACGAAATAAGTATATGGAGC